TGGTTTCATCATCAGTTCTGCTTTCCCACCAGCACTAAGGATGGAGTTTCCAGATGGGCAATCCAAGCTGTCAGCCACTTGTCCCTTATCCATGGCCACAGGCTACCCAGTGAGCCTTGTACCTGACCACACCACTGGCCCTGTGGCAAGTGTGCCCTGGGCCAGCCAGCCAGCCTGCTTTTAGAAACCCTTTAAAACTCTTTTCATGGATGCTTTTAATGCGTCCACCACACTTGCCTCATAACCTCAGGAAAATGGAAAGGAGAGGCTTTTGTTATACCTTTAAGCAGTGTTTGGTTGATGATTTGTCTCCTGACCTCCAGGTCCCTCTGCTCATGTTTTCTTCTTATTTCTCTGAGAGCTTTAAGTCTGGGCAAGCTCTGGCTGCTCCTGTTGGCAAAAAAAAAAACCCTAGTCTTACTCTGAGTTCAAATCCTTGCTCCCTGAAGCCAATTGCTTTGCACCCTGCTGGCAGGGCCTTGGGGCACATCAGGCTTGTGCAGGACAGGGTGATGTGTTTTGTTCCTCCCTTTCATGGCAAGGCTGAAAACACGTGAAGAAGAGCAGGCAGCTGTGGCCTTAGCTGACAACCTGAGGGGAGCTTTGCTAGCAAAAAAAAAAGTCCAGGGGAGAGCAAGGAAGGCTGGTGGTAAAAGTCAACAAGGGACTCTCTCTCCAGATGCAAGAGCAGCAAAGGGATTATAAGGAACGTGCTGAAGTATGCAGATAAAGTTGCCTGAGTTATTTTGACCATAAAGCCCAGACCAGTAAAGGTTCTTAACCTCTATTAATCAGGGAGAAGCTGGAAGAGGCCACACAATGATCTCAGCTGCCCAAGCTGCTGCACCCTTCTGCTCCCTTTAATTTAATTGTATTAGTCCTGCCCGCGTCCTTTGTTCTTCTGCCCTGCTCAGGAAATCTGCTGCTGGTTTTGGCAGGGCTTGTTCTGGCTCCACATGCCTGGTTTGTGGGCAGCCAGGAGGGATGAGAGGGAAGGCAGGAAGAGGAAGAGGATGGGAAAAGGTCCCGTGGGAGCAACCTGCTTAATGTGCCTCATTTGGCTTAATAGTGCCGCCGTGTCCCTTCCTGGCCAAGCTTCCTCCTGACAAGTCAAACAGGCAAAACTGAATGCAGCAGGTCTCCTGCTGATATCAGTAGAGATGAGATTTCATGCTTAAAGCTTAAAATAAAATGAAAAATAAAAGAGTGCCTGCAAGCCAAGTCCAAGCCAAGTCTTGCACAACAGGCACTGCCAACCCAGCAGTCACTCCTACCCTGCTGAGGGGTTGGGGTGTCCCACCTATAGCTTACATGTTCTGGTTTGTACCACTTGTTCCTCATCAGGTTCTTAAGAAATAGGAGTTTTCCTCAGCAGTGGGGAGAAGGAGCAGTTCTAGCTGAGGATCCAGCAGCACCCTTGCAACTTCACCAGTTTCCCCAGCACACGCATTGGCCACCGGTCTCCTGTCGGCATCGTTGCAAAGATACTGTCAGCTCAACCCACGAGTGGTTCTGTTCCTTGCTGCCAGAAATAACAATCTGTGTGTTTTTGTGTAACAGGAGAAGGCAACGTGTGCAGTCACTCACCTGCCCAAGCCCCAGAGCAATCTCAGAGGGGTTTGGAGGTGATGATGCACCAGGAACGCTGCCCTGTCCTGCTGCTTCATAAAACAGTGGCCTTCCACTGCAGGACTGGAAGGATGTGTCCTGCTGATGCCATACCAGAGAGGTGACACAGGAGGTGTTGGTGTTTGTAATTCATGGGTTGTGATGGGAACATCAGGAGAAAAAAAAAAAAATCATAGAATGGTTTGGATTGGAAGGGAACTTAAAGATCTTCTAGTACCTGAAATATCTTCTAGTTCCAACGCCCCTGTCAGGGACAGGGACACCTCCTGCTAGACCAGGTTTCTCAAAGCCCCACTCAACCTGGTCTTGAACACAACCAGTGATGGAACATCCACAGCTTCCTTGGGCAACCTCTTCCAGTGTCTCACCACCCTCACAGTGAAGAATTTCTTCCTAATTTCTAATCTAAATCTCCCCTCTTCTCATTTGAACTTATTACCCCTCATTCTATCACTACAGACCCTTGTAAAATGTTCCTCCCCAGCTTCCTTATAGGCTCTCTTTAAGTACTGAAAGGCTGCAGCAAGAGCCTTCTCTTCTCCAGGCTGAACAACCCCAACTCTCTCAGCCTGGCCTTGGAGGAGTGGTGTCCCAGCCCTCAGATCATCTTCCTGACCCTCCTCTGGACCTGCTTCAACAGGTCCACGTCCTTGTGTTGCACCATCAGAAAAAAAGAAATAATGACCTGCTGTTTTGATATGGTATTTTTATGACTCTTGGTTTCAATTCATCTAAAATGAGGAAAAAAAACAAATGTGAGAGGTGGTTCCCTGGACACTGGTGCATTATTTCCAACTCTAGAGCTCACCCTTCCTGAAGGATGAGTGGAGCAGCTAACCTAGGGTTACTTTCATCACCTTTCCATCAAGGAATGGTAACACTTAATATGTGGGAAAAGACAAAGCTCTTACAGAAATCTTGGTTAAGAAAAGGATTTTTCAGATTATTTTGAACATTTCAGGCTTGTCTGGGAAACACGATTTTGAACTCTGTATTTTACTGGATTTCTCTGAGTCCAGCTGTACAAAATGCCCCAAATCCACTATGGCAAGCCCAGGTTTTCCCCAATATGTAAAATCTCAGGGTTCCCCTCTCCCTGGCACAGCAAGGAATTATTATAGGGAAGCAGGGCATCATTTGCTTATTAGTTTTATAGGAGGATCCCTCCATCATTGCTGTACTTCTTGGATCTGAAAAGTACAACATATTTACGTTGCTATGTGGGATTTTGGAAAACCTCAGGAAAAAAAATAGGCCTGGAAAGGAAATTTCTCTGTCCACGGAAAATTTTTGTGATGCGTTTTTGCCATCTCTGAATGAAAGCCTTGAAATAGAGAAATCCCAAAAACATGAAGCCAGCTGCAGCAACTTATTTTGACTATTTTACCCTTTTTATTTCGATAGTAAATTTACTTTATGTTTCAATACAAAGGAGAAATTCCAGATTTCTTGGATAAAAATTCAGGTCCGCAGAGCTGATTTCGGTAGGTCAGGAACTGTTTGGCAGATAAATTTCCATCAGAAAATGGCAATCTGCTGCACTAAAAATAAAAAATAACGACCCAATAAATGACTAATTTTGTGGTCCAGCATAATTAGCTTGGCAGAAGGCAGCAGGTCTGAATTACTGCTCTGAGTCCATTTACAGGAAGATATTTATCTGACTTTGTTGTTATTAATAATAATTAATGAGAATTAAAATATTCAGCTGGGATTTTTGCTGCTGCTATTAGTGGGAATGCACGTGTGTGTGTATATATATATAAGTATTTGCTCTTTGATGCTTTTCTTGGTTGTTTGCATCTCAATCCTTGACTGTCTTGCTCTGGGACTTTAATAATACTCCAGAAATTATTCAGACCACACCTTTGTCTGGCATGGAGGAAACTTGAGGCTTTTACAATTAGCGCCTCTGGTTATTCCATGCAAAACTCAGGCCACGGTCTGACAAGGAAAGCAGCAGTCAAAAAAATCAGGCAAGAAGCAATCCTTTATCAGCAGGCTCCCAGGAGGCATTGGTTGGCAGCTCACAGCTTGTGTTTGCACCTTGGTTTTGCAGCACAGGTTGCTGGGGACGCAGGGGTGATGTGGCTGCCTCCAGGGACCCACACGGCTCCAAAGCTCCTCTGGTGAAATTCAGGCATTAAGTCCAAGGTGCTTAAATTTCAGTGCTCCCAACACCCCGTGATGGTCACCTAGTCTTGTGACACCAGCCTGTGGTGTTTCTGCTGGGCGTTCCCACCCCAAACCTGCATCCCACAGGAGGTTTTAGGCATATCTTTAATGAAACCCTTCAGCTAACAGGCTTCCCATGGCAGGGAAGGCTTTTAATGAGCTGGTTTAGTGGATAATTGCTCTCGCTGTTAAAAACAAAACATGCTTCTCTCTCTGTTTTCAGTCTGACACTCTTGAGTTTCAGCCTTCCAGCCCTGGACTTTGCTCCACCTGTATTTGGCAGAGTTAAAGCCCTTTTAAAGAGTCTGAAATCTTCCCACGTGCCCTTAAAGACTAGTAGGAGTCATTTCCTAATCTTCTAAGAGGACGGTGATAATTGAGGACTTATTCTATTGACTTTTAGGTGGTTTGTGTTTGGGTTTTTTTTAGATAAGTTGTAATTGTTCCTTTTTATCATTGCACAGCTCCTGTTAATAATTGCTGTTCACTGTGTCTACATCTAAAGGATGTCGCCCCACTGCTGTTAAAGATCCAAATCTGGGGCTTGGGTGGACAGTTGGAGGGGTGTTGATATGGAGAAAAGTGGGTGCATCAATCAAGTGGTGTTTACTCACCTCCTCAGAAGGTTTTGTAAACCACGTTGGTTATTTTTAGAGGCTCCTTTTCAAGTGGTGGTGTATCTCCAGTGGTTTCAGTTCTGGTTCTAGGCTGGGCTGTATTCTGCCATCCTTAGTCATCCTGAGAACTCTCTGCACTTTCCTTAACTTTGTTTGATTTAGCTGAGAAATGCTGAGGGATGAGATGATACTGAGATGAATGAAACTGGGGATTAGATGGGGGGTTAGATGGATCCTAACAAGCAGGTGCTGTATTTTCTGTGGGGAGGTTTCTAAGCTTCATTAAACCAAGATGGGCTGGTTTCTCCTGACACTTAAAGATTTAAAAGCATTGTGTTATACTCTTTTATTAATACAAATGATAAACTATCTTGATGGCAATAGTCATCTTTTGGTGAAATTTCAAACCATGGTTATATCCAAAGCCTACGTGAAACGATGTGAGTTCTTTTAGAGCCTTATGTACTGCTACTTCAAGGGGATTGTTCCTCACCAGATGCCAAAACCTTTGCAGGTTGGAGATACAGATGTCCTGTTTATGGTATTTATCCACCTACCTGTATTTTGTCCTGTTTGCAGCATTTTTGCTCCTATGTACGTCGGGCTGGTGGGAAGTCTCATCCAAACCATGATAGCAGTGCTGTGGATCCCTTCACAAACTAAACCAAAGTCAGACCATCATGTGATGGAGCACAGTAAGTAATGTTTCTGAAAAACAGCATCTGAGCAGGGACAGGGGACTGACATGCTGTAGGGACTGCTGGAGGACTTGGCGTTGCATTAGGGGCAAAAAGGTGTCAACTTTGTGATGCTGACATGCCTAAGGTGTGCTTGTGACAGTGTTGTTCCTACTTGTTGACCACTCTGCTGTCTTGCTGCCTGATTAAATGGAGTATTAATCCATATGTCATCTTCTGTAGGCACATCACAGTCTGGCAGCGTGTTTAGCATCAGAGAAATCCTACGCCTGATGAAGTTTCCTGGAGTAACGGAAGTTTTCCTAATCAAGGTCTTTGCTGGACTTCCCCTAGGTAAATCTCACCCCTTATCCATGCTTGCTGATGTATTTAAAATAGGATGACATACACTGTGGACCAGGTTTGTCTCCAGTTCTTGAGAGCACATGGCATGAGATCATGGAGCAGTGAGGATCTGACTCGATGCTGGATGCTTTCGAATGCTCCCAACTACGTGGGATCAAAACCCTGGGACTTAATGTAAAACAGACCACTGGTCACAGGCTGCTTCTGTGACTTGTGGCAAATCACTTAATCTCTCTACAGCATCAACCCTAGCTGTAAATGTGGTTTTTTTTTTCTCTTGCCTGTCATTTCTATTTAGGCTGCAAGGTCCTTCAGAGCAGAGGGGAATCACGTCTGCTCTGCCAGAAACACTGAGGTCCTTCCTGACTTTGCTTAATGATTTTAAGGGTTATATGTATCCTAACTTTTTTCCCAAGGACTGAAAACCATTGCTGGATGAGAGGCTGTGGCTGCTCTGGGTGTTGGCTGCATGCAGGGGAACCACAGCACGTTTCTTCCCTTGCATGTTGATGCTGGGGCTTGTTCTTCTCTTCTTTATGTGTTCTGCTCAGGTTTTTGGGTCATGGCAGGATCCTGCTGCTACCTCAAACCCATCCCTGCCTGTTTCCCTGCTCCCTTTGAGCATTTGCTGTCCTGGCATGGTCCATGTCTCCCAGTTTCCCTGCTTATACATATCCTTGGCTACAATTTAATAATCTTTCATTTTACCTCCCCTGTAGCTTCTTTCCCCCCAACCTGACTAGAGACAAGCCCTTGTGAGGGGTGGTGTGAGCACAGGGTGGTGTTCTCTACCCTTCCACACAGAGCCTTCACAGCTCTTTTCCCACTCAAACCCAAAAGTGCAGTTTCTGCTGATTCTGGTTCCAAGGGTAGAATTTTGTGCCCACCAAAACACGTGCACATCATGCATCTGGACAAACTAAGGCACCTCCCTTCCAAACAGGGGTCATACGAGAGGATTTAAGGCACCTTATAGCTTTTATACTTTGCATCTTTTTTCCAGCTCATCTGGAGAAGTCCTTGAAGTTTAAATCATGAGAATTTAGTTTGAAACTTACGTTTCATGTTTGTAAACTGTAGATTCAGTTTACAAATGAAAGCAGATTTGGCTGTGGAGAGTGGCTGAATCTGAAGGGGGTGGCATTTCTGGGCTTGGTCAGGGTCATGTGTTAGTCCATGCCAAGGCTCTGGGAGAACAAATCCAACTGGAGCTGTAGAATAATATTCAGGGAAGTAAAGGATTTCTGATTCTTTTTTCCTTTTTATTTTCTTTCTGTGTGTAGTTGGCACTGGCTGAGTTCAGCAATGCCAGTTGGTCCTCCCTCCACCACTGGAGACAGGATACACTCTCCAGGCACTGCTGGCTTGCCCCAGTAGTGCACTTTTATCCCTTCTTATGAAACTCAACTTTTAAAGTGATTTTTGAAATGACAGAGTTTCACAGAATGAGACAGTCTAGTGATGTTTTAAGAGGGTTTTCTTTGCTGATTCTGGCTCATTTCTCAGCTTAAAGCAGCATTCATTCCTCTGTTTAAAAATTCCCAAGACCTCATCCATACTCAACAGCACGGTAATTCCCTCTGCACTCTCCTTTTTCCAAAGGCTGGGTGAGATGCACTTTGTTTTAGTCATCCCTGCTGAAATGCCAACTCCTCCCTGTTGCAGAAGTTGTTCTTTTCCCATGCATAGCAAAAAATGCACACTCAACTGAAACAAAACCACCTCCTGCCCAAAACTGCAAGAGAACGTTTAGGTGAAGAAGATGGAGATGGTGAAGTTGAGATGGAAGGCAGGACGTGGGCTAATTGTCACTGAAATGGCTGGAAGTGGTTCTGCAAGAGTAGGAAGGGTTCCCTTGAGGCACTCAGGCTACCAGTACAGCACTTGTGCTGCAGTGAGGAGGGACTGAAATCCTCACGACGACTTCTTGCAGGTCACCTCCAGGTGACTGGCCATGCAATGGCAGCTGCAGGGGCATTTGGCCATCTCCTGCTTCTCTGCAGCTCCCAGCTGAGCAACTCAGGAGCTCATTTACTTTTCATCTCCAGGCTGCAAATGTATAATTAATTAGATCACCCAAATTACAGACCGCCCTCTATTTACTTTGTAAACAAGCTTGTGATATACACAGAAGAAAATCTTCTCTTCCTTATGGATCTCATTGTTGTCTAAAATGAGCTTGTTTGAGACCTGGGAGGGCTGCAGGGCTGGGAACCTCCTCCCTGTGTTGCATAAAAGCAGGGATGGAGGTTCTGTGCCCCTTGCAGGAGGGCAGCTGCCAGGGGGTGGAGGGGCAGCAGATCACTCCAGCACAGCCAAATTAAGCTCTCAACTGACCTGGGGAATGAGAACCTCATTGCACTCTGGTTGATAAGGGACAGAAAAGAAAACCTGAGAATAAAAACATCAAACATACCTGTCACTGGCCAGAAATCATCAGGGCATTGAAAATACTGATAAATAGCTGCTTGTATGAATCCTTGGCTGCCCAATCCCTTTGGGAAACCTACTTTTAATGTGATTGCTTTAGCACCTGCCTCCCATTTTTAAAAGGACTTTGTTTGACATGTGGAACAGATTTTGCAGTGAGCCCTGGTTACTCATCTCCCTGCACCAGGCTTTCTAGGAGTTCACCCCTTATTTAGACCCCCTCAATAAAAAGGTGAAGTTTTTGAGGATTTTTTTTGCCATTTTCCTTTTTTTTTTTTCCTGTGGAAAATCTGAGCCTCATAGTATGGATTTGAGGCTCATTGGGATCTTATTAATGTTTATAAATGGCTAAAGAGTGGGATGGGACCAGTCTCTTTTCAGTGGTGCCCAGAGACAGGACAAGAGGCAATGGGCACAAATTAGAACACAGGAAGCTCCATCTTAACATAAGGAAAACCACCTTCCCTGTGAGGGTACCAGAGCCCTGGCCAGGCTGCCCAGAGAGGCTGTGGAGTCTCCTGCTCTGGAGAGATTCCAAACCTGCCTGGATGTGACCCTGGGCACCCTGCTGTGGGTGAGCTGCTGGAGCAGGGGGGTTGGATGAGATGATCTCCAGAGGTCCATTCTAGCCCCCACCATTCTGTGGTTGTCTGGGCAGCTCCAGTGTGGGCTTTTGGTGTCCTCAGAAGAGCCTGGGGACACTCCAGCCCAGCAAGCCCACCCCAGGGTGGGGACATCACTGCTGCAGCTGCACTCAGCTGACCCACGACCCACCCACACAGGGTGATGTTTGTAAGAAACACTTGTTCCAATGGGCATAAAACCTTCTCAGTTCAACCTGGGGCTCACCCTGTGGGTTCCACCAAGAAAGGAGCTGCCCCTGGGAGAGCCCCCTCAGCTGCTGAAGGAAGGGAGGGCAAGGGAGTCTTTTGGCCAGGTAGCTTTAAATGACCTGCAGGCACAGGGGGTCTCATCTTCATCTAAAGAAGAGACCTTTGCAGCTCTGGGGCAGCCATGCAATGTGTAAGGCTAATTAAAGAGCACAGCCTGTCCCCCTGCTCTGGAGGAAATCAGCTCATTTGGAGGAGAAACATCCAAATCTGCCTTAACTCATTGAGGGACTTCAAAGGGGAGAGGAGCTGGAGAAGCTGGCACATGGTACCAGAAAGAAGCAGCAGGTAGGGTGGAAGGTTGAGCCCCTCCTAGGTGGTACCTGCAGCAGGGTAGCAGGATGAAGGACGAGCACCCACTTGGAGCTGATCTTCCTGCAGGTGAAACAAAGTGTGGTTTTTCTTTCATTTCTTCACGTGTGCCTTTTATAAACACGTGCAACTCTGCTGCCTGGTTTGGGTGTTGGGAGTAAATACTGTGATTTGCATATTAACTGAAGCTGGCTTCAGCTAGAGTGATTTCAAAGTAACCATGGGGTGCTCTCCATGGAGGGGTGTGGTGAAGCCATAAACATCCATGAACCCCAGCTCCCTGCCACCTTCTCCAAATATCCAGAGCACAGCAGGGCAGGGAGTCCTTCCTGCCCCCCATCCCTCTCCTCAACACCATGGGGCCAACTGGGGTGCAGCAAACCCCATTAAAGGGGGAAGAGTTGTCTCAGGTGAGGTTTGGGAAGGCTCTGTGGCAGGTCCTGGGGTGGGAGGACGACGGTTCCTCCACACAAAGGCTTGGGGTGCTTGGAGAGAGGTCTTCACTGCTGCAGGTGCTCCACTGGTTGCAGCACTGTTGGGCTGCTGGGTGCACTGGGATTACACTGGTTGGTTAGGGCCCGAGCTGTCCACAGCATTTTGGTCAGCAGTTTGGGATGGCTCTCCTCACGCTTCCAGGAAATGCCAGCAAGTCCTTCCCCTGCTGTGGGGTTAGTGATTCACTTTGCCAGGCCACAAGCTCTCTTCTCAGTCCTCACCCATTGCCTCCTGGGCTCTGTTTTTACACAGAGAATACTGCAGCTCCCTATTTATCCATTCTTTGTACCCCAGAGGAGCCTACAAGGAAGGGCAGGACCCCTAAAAGTCACCTGCTCTCTTCTCCTCTCCCCAGCAGGATCAGTGCTCTCTAACAGGCACATTGTGGGCTTGTCCACATGCAGAGCCCCCAGTTTCCTCATGTCTTGGTCCATCTGCAGAGCAGAAGACACGAGGGGCAGGCAGCAGCCTCTTACTTAATAATCTGAATCCAATCAGATTATTTTTATGGTTACAGTCTTGTCTGAACAAATGTTTTCTCACTGCCTTAATGGTTAGTCTGGCTTTGGTGATACAAATATTTACTGGTTTATAATAAACAGCTCAATCTACAGCCTACATAGTCACATCATTTCAAGATGAAAGTAAGTGGGATAAAAAAAAAGAAAGGTAACATTTAAAGATTAAATTACTGCATTAAATAACTTTGGATAGGATTCTGCTTGTGTTTATAACCAGTCCTGGCAACCCCGGGGAGAGCTACTGACTCATCCTGGGGGTGACTGAGAGCTGGGTCTGGGGCACTATGTGCAGTGTGAGTATATTGAGGTGTGCTTTTCATTAACCCTTCCTCTAGGTTTGTTCCTCATTATGTTTTCCATCATCTCCATGGATTTCTTTGGCTTGGAAGCAGTGGAGTCTGGATACCTGATGTCATATTTTGGTGTCCTTCAGATGGTAAGTGAAGCCCCACTCTTGGCACACCACAATCTGATTTGCTGCCTTTTTTGACACACACTTTTCCAAATCCGGGTGTCACATTGACAGGCAAATCCCAGCTCTGCCATGCAGCACTTGGCTTCAAACAGCAGAAGTGACTCCAGATTTATCCTGTCAGGAATGGGATGAAATCAGAGCAAGGGGTGTCCTGAAAGCTTTTTTCCCTTTGTCCCTTTTTTGCAGCTCTTTAACCCGTTGAGCTAAAATTTCCTTGGACTGACACATTGTCCTGGGTTTTGTAACAACACCTACATTGTTGTGTTGTAGCAGAAGGTTCCTTTTGGAGGAAGAGACTAATAATTTTGCAGGGAGAGCAACAGATGGTTGTGAGCAAGCCTGAAGGTAGGAATGCAAGTGAAGCAATATCCTGAAGGAGGGTGGTCTGGTGATTAAATCCGCCTTCACTTCCTGGGCATTGCCCCAGAGCTCCTGTGGGATTCTGGAGGAGCTTCTCAGGTGGAAAAATGGCAGCTGTAGTTCCTTCCAATAGCACTTGTAGAGCAGGAGTGGCCCCATGCTGGTAGCTGGAGCTTGGACGCTGCTGTTAGGTCTGGGATATCTGTCCTGGGAACGCTGCTGTTCTGTCTGAGCTATCTGTCTCTCTTCACTCCTATTGTTTCCTAGGTTAGCTTGGTTGAAACTACTGTAGATAAGGTTACCTGCTGCTGTGCTGGTGAGCCCTGCAGGTGGGCACAGCCCTGGAAGGTATGGGAATTAAAGCGTTCACTCTGGTCCCTAATGAGTAATTAGATGTCGGTGCTAAGCAGGGACCTGACCCTTCCCACAGTGCCAGGGTTTCATCCTGCAGAGGCCAATCCCACCGATTACCACACTCTAACCCAGCAGTGGCCTCCAGGCTCAGGGGCAGCATCTGCTTTGCTGAGGAGTCTTTGCCTGGGGACATCCAGCCAGGCAGTTTTCTTTCCTCTCTCCGTGCAGCTCCTGTCCCTGTCACCACACGTGTTCTACAGCACACGACTCTGGACCCCAGAAATGCAGGAGCAAAGGGGTCCTAGGTACAAACTTCTCTTTTTCACGAGGGTGCATTGGGGTTCACTGTCAGAACACCAAAAAAGGAAAGAGAAAAAAAGCTTCTTGTTTTGAAAAGCCCAGGACAGCTGATTCCTGGTGGCAGCCAAGCCCAAGAGCTCCCAGAGCATTGCTTTCTGCTTCACTGGTTCTTTCCACCTCCTCGCTAGCAGTGTCAAACTCTGCTCTGGTTTCTGCAAGACCAGATCTTCAGCTGGGCCAAACAATGCTCTCATGACCTGGCTTTTTATTGTAGAACATTAGAATTTGTGTCCACACTTTCTGATGAGGTCCCTGGCGAGGAGCACCCAAAGATACCTCTTGCAGAGAGTGTGTGGGTTGATGTCTACGGCTCCTCCAGTGGAAGATGTCAGAGTAAGGTGTGCTGGCTCTGTCCTGCTGAGCCCAGAGCTGCCCTTGTGCCTTCGTGCTGCCCGAGCTGGCATGTCAGAGGCATTTGTTTCTGCTGCAGGGAGCATTGATAAGGCTGGAGATATAAATGCAGATGAAGGTGCGAGCAAATTCCACCAGTCTGGATGGGCCAATGGTGATTAGTATCTGCTGACTGGCTTCCCCACTTCACTGAGTGAATGAGAGCTTTATTCATAAGGGATATAACGTCCTTTTCAATGAATTTCATCAACCAGATCCTCAGCTTTGATTCCTCACTCCTTAGTCTGCTTTTCCATAAAACACTGTGAGGGTTTTCCTGTTTTCCTGGACTTGCTCTGAGCCCTCCTGTTAGAGGAACCACATCCCCCCTATTTGCATCTCTCCCTGGACCTGAAAAAGGGTCAGGACAAGGACTTTTACAGATGGGAGTGGGTATCACAGAAACAAAGGGGAAAACAAGAACTGAACCATGTCCTGTTCACTCCATCCCTCCTGTGGACCCTGGACACAGTGCCTGGGTGGTTGCACAGCAGGACCAGCTGATATGCCCAGCAACGTGCCCTGGGGTCTCACCTGCTCCCAGCACACATTGCATGAACTAAGAAGCTTCAGAGATGCACAGGGAGCCCTTTCCTCAGCTCTTCCCAAAATTCAGAAGCTGCCAGCAGCATTGCCAGCTCCTGGCAATTTTTAGTGATATTATTTCCTTGTGTTATGGTAGTTTCTATTTTTTTTTAATGAAATCTTCTCCAAACCAACGTCTTCCTCTAGCACAGAAGGTGATGTTGCAGCCCCCACCCCCAGCCCAGTCAGCAATCCCAGGTGACTGGAACAGTGATGGTTTCTTCCTGCTTTCCTCTCCCACCCCAAGGATATTATGCTCCAATTGCTTGATCTAATTTTTCAGCTTCACAGCCTCATTTAACCTACTGTGGTGAGAAGTGCCCAGTGCACTGTAAACATCTCTGTTTCTCACCATCCCTCCCATTCAAGCCAGCTGCAGAGCACCTGGAAGGGAGATTTTTGAATGGTTTGGGGTCAGTATGGTTAATTTTAAGTAGGCAACTCAAGTCTTGTGTCATCTGTATCTCAGCCAGCTCCTTGTGTGAGGAGATCAGCACAGACACTCCAACCCTGCAGGGCATTTGCCACCTTTGCAGAGAGGTGTTAGACACTTCACTGGTTCAGGGGAGCTCCAGAGCCCCTCAGCCTCACCCTATCATGCTTGGTGCTGTCTTGTCACTTTGTAACCCCACAGGAACCCAACATTTGGGGGTTGTCCCATGCCCAGCCTGAGAAGATCCCTGCAGGCTTTGAAGGAGGATTTGGGGCTGATTTCTGGACTCCTGGAGCCCCATGGGCTTTGGCTGGTCACAAAGGCAAAGAGCATCATCTAATGGCAGAGGATACTGGAAAGTGTGGGTCGAGTTTCAGCACAGGGGAGGGGGCAGAGGGGCTCACTTCTGGGTCAGGACAGAGCCAAGGGAGGTCAGAGAAGGGTGTGTGGGAAGGTGGTGTCATGGCATTGGGATGAAGAGCTGTCTGATGAGGAAACAAAAGTCGTTGCTTACAAAATGTGGAGCTGCTGGAGCGTGTCCAGAGAAGGGCCACGAGAATGACCCGAGGGCTGGAGCAGCTCTGCTGTGAGGACAGACTGAGAGAGTTGGGGCTGTTCAGTCTGGAGAGGAGAAGGCTCCGAGGTGACCTTATTGTGGCCTTCCAGTATCTTAGGGGGGCTACAAGAAAGCTGGGGAGGGACTTTTTAGGATCCCGAGAAACAACAGGACTAGGGGGAATGGGGCAAAGCTGGCAGTGGGCAGATTCAGGCTGGATGTGAGGAAGAAGTTCTTCCCCATGAGAGTGGTGAGACCCTGGAATGGGTTGCCCAGGGAGGGGGTTGAGGCCCCATCCCTGGGGGTCTTTAAGGCCAGGCTGGAGGAGGCTCTGGGCAGCCTGATCTAGTGGGAGGTGTCCCTGCTCATGGCAGAGGGGCTGGAACTGGGGGATCCTTGTGGTCCCTTCCAACCCTGACAGATTCTGATCTGTTTTAGCAGAGGACTTTAGAGCCCTAATGGCTCAATGGTTGGACTTGATGATCTTGGAGGTCTCTTCCAACCTAAAGGATTCTAGGAAAACGGAGTCTGACTGAGGCTGGAGTGGGCTGGTGGGGACGTGAACATAGCAAACGGGGGGTGATTCCAGCACTCCAGGGCTCTGCATGGATCCTGATAGTGTGGGGCTGTCTGAGGAGCTGGGTCTGTGCCAGTGGGAGCCCAGGAGGAGGAGTCAGATGGGAGATACTGCAATGAGGAGGCGAAGGCAGACAGAAGTGGGAGGGGGATCTCTGCACCAGGCATCTGGCCTTGCAGAGCTTCCCTCGCTCACGATGATGATGTTTGAAGCATCTTTATCTGATGGGTGGTGGGTCTCCAGGCAGGAGATGTGAGAGCTCCTCAGGGACACAATCCCTCTGTCCTCCAGGGCTGGGCTTCCAGAGTCCTCTCATCTCAGAAGCCATGTAAATGAAATTTCCACATAGTGAGTGCTTGGGAGGGTGAGGTGCCATTCAATCCCCCTCCAGAAAATAACTGATTTCATAGTAATTTAAAATAACTTTGTGTAATGGGCAGAAGGAGACCCAGGCTCCATCTGGGTTTTTTTGAGCTACGAGTGCAACAGCATGGAGAACTTCCAGGTGTAGTATCTGGCTTGGAAAGTGTCACCAGAGGGTTAGGCAAGTGAAATACCTGGGGTCCCTGGCTGGTATCTGAAGTCACATCTGATGCTTAGATTTCAAACCACGGTGGGGGTAGGGGAAACTTTCCTGCAAGAACTTTTTCTCAAGAAAAAAAATATACCCAAAGCAAAATGCACCAAACAAGAACTCTGGGTGGGACAAAGGGGTAGATATTTATAACCCTGAGGATCAAGAAAACATAAGACATCTGTTCTGTTTACTGCCTTTACATTTGTATTGTTATACAAACTCCACCTCTAGCTGTGCAGCTTCTGGAGGGACAAGTTGGTACGGAGTGATCCTGAAAAGATGAGAGAGATTCCTGGAGGAGACATTTACATGGCCTATCATCTTATCACCAGTCTGTCCCTCTTGCTTTTCTTTTTTTTTCCCCCCTCTGCACAGCAAAAGAGATGATTAAAGAGCCGGGGATTTAATTACAGCCAGGTATGCCTAGGGGCAAAACCCACTCGGTGAAAGGACCTTGCAACAACAAACAGAAAGTTCTCCAGTTTCCTTGCTTTGAAGGATTTAAATCTATGGAGGGGGCGGGTTGGAGGGGGAAAGAAAGAGATTAGGCTGGAGTTTGCAAAACACACCGTCCTCTTCCCCTGTTCAGCAAAGTGCTGCCTTCAGCAGTTTGATCCTCACCATCAGCTCTCCTGCCCTCCCACCACCTTCTTGCTCCTCTGCAGGATCCAAACCTCTCCTCCAGTGCTTCCTGGCATCGCCGTGGCAGTAAAACAACTCTCCTTTCCCACCACCTTCAGCCTGGGCTGTGATTTTGGTTGCCCTCTCCGGTGCCCACCCCAAGCCCCCACTGCCCCCAGCCTGGGAACTGCCAGCCAGGCACAATTCCAAAGCCAGGAGAGATACGGGTCGGGTGCGTGGGAGTGCCTCTGATGGGAATCGTGCTAGGGATGGGGCCCTGCATCTTCCCTGCTGGCTTGGACCAGCTCATCTGGCCTGCTGCGACCTTCTCACGTCTCTTCATTTCCAGGCTGTTGGGTGAGAGGGAATTTAATTTGTTGCTGGGCTCTGTCAAGCTTTTGGTGGAAGGATCTGTAGGACAGCCCTGTGTCTGCTGAGCGTGGAGGACCAGCTGAGCATCTGAGTCGTGGAATCAGAGAATACCAGGTTGGAAGGGACCTCAAGGACCATCTGGTCCAATCCTTCTTGGGAAAAGCACAGTATAGATCAGATGGCCCAGCACCCTGCCCAGCTGAATCTCAGAGGTGTGCAGCTTGTGTGTAACTCCTCTAACCCCCACCGATGAAGTTAGCTACTTGGGGGTGCCAGTCCTGCTCAGCAGCTTCACCACCCTCAAAAGTCTTCCCCAAACTAGCCCCTTAAACCTTCAAACAGCAGCAGTCTTTTCCTGAAATTTGTTAATGAGGTTAACAAGAAAACGGGTAATTGGCTCTTCTGAGCAAATGGGAGCTGCTGCCTTCCCAGGAGTCAAGTACAGTGAGAGAGGCAGAGAGGATTTCTCTGTGTGGTCAGCTGAACTCACACAACGAACCCCCAAATCCAGCATGACAACCAGGAGAGATCTGGCTCTTCTCGTGCATCTATTGGGAGACTTATTTGCCTTTAAAGAAGGAAGAGGGGAGGGGAAATAAAAAAAAAAAAAAGAGGAGTTGGTTTTTCCTGTGACATGTGTACACAGCCAGGGGCAGTGCCTGGTATTTCACTTGCAAACAATTTCCTCTCTCTTTTGTTTATTGATGACAGAAGGTGTTCCAGCCAGGCACACTGGCTCTCCCCGACTTCAAAGGAGGTTGGGTTACAAAGGCAAGCACCAGGCAGGCAAAGTGAAACGTAGGAGGGGGAGGCCAATCAG